CAAGCACTGCCAAGTGGGAATCTGCCTTGGGCAGGCTTTCGATTCAGGAACATTACACACCCATGACAGCCCTCCTGCCCAACCATATTGCCTTCTCCCACTGCCTTCAGGAGAGACAGAAGTACAGCACTAACACGCAGGATACGGGAGCAAAAGAAAAATACCAAAAACGACGGCCACAACAGAAGTTTACGTAGCGCCTATGGACACTGGTGAGAAATTCACTTACTTGCAAAAACTCATTGACTTCTTGGAGTTTTTGTCTTATTTCCTGGTCTGCTTGTTCTTCCGCATCTCTTTTACATTGTTCCAGTTGGGTGCGATCCACCACGTTAGTCTCCAAATGGTGCCGGAGTTTTGCCAGCTCCTCTTGCAGCTGGCATTTGTCCATCTCCAGGTTTTCGCACTTCCCACGCAGGGTAGACAGCTCTTCTTGCAGATCCTGATTTTTGGCTTCCAGCTGCTTGCATTGTTTAGACTCCCTGTCCAGCTGCTGGGAAAGTTCAGCAACCTGCCGACAGAAAGAAGAAAAAAGGAAGTCAGCGTGATGTAAAGGCAGTGAATTCTGGAAAAACCCCAAAAGGGGGTGGCCAGGGAGACTATATTCACCATCGGCTGGCTCAGGACTAGAAACAAAGTGCAACCAGGCTCTTCTTTTCCAGCAAGAAGAGCTTTCGCCTCATTTGTCATAGCATTCCTCAGGTTCCCATCCTTTTTTGAGTTCCTCATGCAAAAATGCTACAAGCCTCTGGACTCAAAAGGAATCACTGCAAAGGCAGTAAGCGATTCTACAGCGATGCCTTCCAAACCCAAGCATAGCTCTGAGAGACAGCCGCTTTAGCAACGAATCCGAGTAAGGAGCGGCGAAGGAGATAAAAGGTTACGTGCCACTACTGCACAGGCAGAGCAGCCTCAAAACCACTGCTGGGAACAGTCCTTCTGGGTCCCTGCGACAAGATGGGACAGCTGAAACAGCTACCCGTGAGCAATAAGTTACAGATTTTCCCCTGGGAGACACCTGTCCTCATTGTGCCCTGGGCAGCGACAACACTGTTGAGAAAAGCAAAGCGTCAAGTGCCTCCTGCTCTGCTCGTGCCTGAGACAGGGCTCAGGGGCTGATCGTGCCCTGTGAGTGACAGCGGAGTTCCTCCCCTCTCTTCCAGGGCAGGAATTCATCTGTCAGACCCAGATGACACTGTCACAGTCTCCCTCAAGCTGCAGCCAGGCCTGAGCTGGGCCCCACTGCTCTCAGCCCATGGACGTGATGTCCTGCAAGGACGGCAGACCTGCCCATCCCTAAGGCCCAGCCGGGGGATCTGCACTCTTGGCTGACCCCGCTTACTGTCAGCGGACCTGTTCTGCTCTTCCTGCTGAGGGCCTGCGGGAGGGCTCCCTGACCCGTGAGGTCACGCACCCCGCCAGGCTGGCTGCCACTCTCGGCTTGCCCTTCCTCTGCAAGACAGCCTGGCCTCCATGAGCCCTTACACCTAATGCTTTGCCCTTAACATTTGCATCTTTACCCATAATGATACCTAACTCCGAATTAGTTATAGTCATCTACTACTGTAACAGCAGAAGGAGCATTAAGAAAAGCCCATCACATCCAAAAAGCAACCAAGGAAAAAAAATCATCAACATGACGAGAAATATAGGGAAAGCATCCCCCAGGTTGCAAAAGAAGTAACACCACAACCAAAAATCCCCACCCGGAGCGCAGCTCACCTCTGTTCGTAATCTATCAACTTCCTTGACCTTTTCAGAATATCTGTTCCTCACTTCTTCCAGCTGGGACTGGGTTTCTTTCTCTTCATTAGCTCTGAGTTTCCTCCCATCTACCCTCAGAAGCTTTTCCAATCTGCACAGCAAATTAGTTAAGAAAACCATGAAACACAGGAAGAACCAGCCTTTTCCCCACAGTCTCACATAAGCAGCACAGACATCAGAGAAGCATAGAATGGCTTGGCTTGGCTTGGCTGGGACCTTAAAGATCATCTCGTTCCAAGCCTCCTGCTGTGGGCAGGGACACCTTCCACGAGACCAGGTTGTTCAGAGCACCATCCAACCTGGCCTGGAACACTTCCAGGGATGGGGCATCCACAGCTTCTCTGGGCAACCTGTTGCAGTTTCTCGCCACCCTCACAGTAACCAATTTCTTCCTAGTATCCAACCTAAACCTACTCTCTTTCCGTTTGAAGCCATTCCCCCCCTTGTCCTCTCACTACATGCACTCTTTTCATCCTTCTGGTAGGCTCCCTTCACATACTGAAAGGCCACAATTAGGTCACCCCAAAGCCTTCTCTTTTCCAGGCTGAAGTATTGCAATTGTCCCAGCCTTTCCTCATAGGAGAGGTGCTCCATCTTTCTAACCACCTTGGTGGCCTGCTCTGGACTCACTCCAACAGGTGGAGGTGCTTGCTGTGCTGAGGACCCCAGAGCTGGATGCAGCACACCAGGTGGGGTCTCACAAGGATTTAGAAGGAAAATGCATGAAGAAAAAAGGAGTCTCTTATTACCACTCCAAAAAAGCGTGGACTTACCTTTCCAGTTTCTTGGTTAGGCATCTTCTGGTTTTTACTTCCTCCAGATACAGGTCTTTGTAGATTTCCATCTCTCCCCGCGTTGCTTCTTTACGAGAAGCACTCTCTTGTTGGGTTTTTTTTACCCTGTCCAATTCACTTTCGAGATCTCTAATTCTTGCTTCCAACTGGATTCTCACTGAATCACAGTTACTGCCTCCGATTTGTCCTAATCGGGCCTGGTAGGCTGCCTGTGCCTGAAGGAGATAGCGCACCTTCAACCAC